TACATTATATGTAACACATAGTATGTCTATTATTAGTATAAATATGTGTATGTTTGTGTAAGAATACATATAAAGGGATTATATACACATCCTCTCATCATTTCTCATAGCACAATAGTATTCCATTACAGTCATATATCACATATTGTGCTATAAGAAATCAAGAGCAGGATGTTTTCAGAAAAACCTGAGAAGACTTCTATGAACTCATGCAAAGTAAAGTGAACAGAACCAGGAAAACATTGTACATAGTAACAGCAACATTATAATTACAATAATCAACTGTGAAAGACTTTGCTACTCTGATCAAGACAGTGATCCAAGACAATTCCAAAGGACCCATGATGAAAAATGCTATCCTCTTCCAGAGAGAGAGATAACTGAGAGAGAGAGAACTGAGAGAGAGAGAGAGAGAGAGAACTGATGGAGTCTAAATGCAGATCAAAGCATACTTTTTAAACTTTTTTCTTTTTTGTCTGTTTTCTTTTGCAACATGGCTAATATGGAAATGTTTTGCATGAGTGAACATGAAATAAATAAAATGCCCTGGAGACAAAAAAAACAAAAAACAAAACCTAACCCAATAAAACCCCACCACCAGTCATACACCACAACTTGTTTAGATGTCTCAATTGATGGGCATCCCCTTGACGTCCAAGTCTTTGCCACCACAAAAAAGAGCTGATATGTTTTTGTACAAATGTGTCCTTTCTCCTTTTCTTTGATCTCTTTGGGATACAGACCTAGTAGTGATATTGCTGAGTCAAAGAGTAGGCACAATTTTGTAGTCCTCTCTGGGCATAGTTCACAACTCCACCAACAGTGCATTAGTGTCCCAATTCTTCCACATCCCCTCCAACATTTGTCATTTTCCTTTTCTGTCATGTTAGTCTAGGTGTGAAGTGGTATCTCAGAGTTGTTTTAATTTGCATTTCTCTAATCAGTAATAATTGAGAGCATGAAAATGTGACTATTGATAACTTTGACTTCTTCTTTTGAAAACTGCCTGTTCATATCCTTGGACCACATATCAACTGAAGAACAGCTCGTATTTTTGTAAATTTGGCTCAGTTCCTATATATTTGAGAAATGAGGCCTTTATCAGAGAAACTTGTAAAATTTTCCTCCATTTTCGTGGTTTCCTTCTAACTTTGGTCACATTAGTGTTGTTTGTGCAAACAGTTTTTAATTTCATGAAATCAAAATTACCCATTTTGCTTCCCATGATCCTTTCTATCTCTTGTTTGGTCATAAACTCTTCCTTTATCCATTGACAGATACTTTTTTTCCCATACTCCCCTAATTTACTTACGACTTCACCCTTTATGTCTAAATCACTTTTCCATTCTGACCTTATCTTGGTATACGGTGTGAGATGTTAGTCTATGATGTCTCCTTCAAACCTTTAGCAATGTTTTAAAACTTCCTCTGAAAGTACCATTTCTGCCCACCTGACTTGCCCCAGGGTGACAGCAGCCCTCTCTGTTAAGCAGATAAATATCCACCTTAGCATCTCTCATCAAGAAGTTGCCAACTAAAATCACTCATCTGACAAGATGATGAGTTCATAGGCCATACAATTAAATATGTAAAGCTGAGAAAGACCTTAAGGGTCAGAGTCCAAATCCCTTATTTTACAGATGAAGAAACTAAAGGCCACAAGGTGGAACTGCCCTCTTCTTCACACCATGACCAGATGAACTTTCATCACTTTACCATTCTTCAGTACATAACCTCATTCACAAAATCATAGAATTTGAGGGTTGGAAGGGGCCTCAGAAGCTGCCTCATCCAATTAATATGGTCAAGGGATCTCCATCATAACATACCTATCAGGTAATCATCCAGTCTCTGCTTCCTGGGAAGTCGCCACCTCTCAAGGCAAGCCATTGTATTAAGTGATATGAAGGGCAGCGAGGTAGTGCCATAGTGCAGAGTGCCAGGCCAGGAATCGGGGAGACTCATCTTCCTGAGTTCAAATCTGGCCTCACACACTTACTGGCTGTGTGACCCTAGGCAAGACACCTAATCCCATTTGCCTCAGTTTCCTCATCTGTAAAATGAGCTGGAGAAGGAAATGGCAAATCACTCCAGCATCTTTGCCAACAAAATCTCAAATGGGTTCACTAAGAGTTGGACACAACTGAAATGACTGAACAACTTATAGGGAAGTTATCTTGACAGCAAGTCTAAATTGGCCTGTTGGCACCTTCTGAGACTGCTCCTGTTTTTGTTCCCTGTGGCCAAACAGAACAAGTCTAAAGGGCAGATTTATCAAATCCCTGAAGACAGCAATCATCCCCTTGTGCTTTCTATCCTCCAGGCCGACCCAGTTCCTTCAACTGACACACACAAACTCACTCACATAGTGATGACTGAACACAATACAGGTAATTCCAAAGGAATGGATTCTTAGCTACGAGGAAAGCCATTTTTAATTATTTACTTCAGGATTGCCTTAGGGAGCAAATTTTTTTTTTTTGGTTTTTACAGCAAAGTTTGAAAAAAAAAGCCACTAGTTTGTGTTTTCTTTTCTTTTTTACTTGGCAGAAATATAAAAGTGCAAGTTCTATAAATTATTTACTTTTACAATACACCACAATAAATATTCTAATTTTCAGTTACATCTAAAAATTCTTTTTCTTAAAACTCAGTAGGAGACATAGCCATAGTGAGCTAAAAATAAAGATGCCTGATCTTTTATTAAAGATAAAATCTTGAGAATATTGGTTAGCAAGATGCAGATTCTATTATTGCTACTAGCTCATGCCTCCGAGTCTTCCAAATTATAAAAACATATGCAGATTACATTATATATATTTGATATTGTTCTCATCACAGGCATAATCTAATATAAAAGGATATTTGACGTTTATAAACTGGAGATGCTCCAAAGAATCTCCCAAAGTAGGGAGAGGTGGCAGAAACAAAAAAACAATAAAAACCCAAAATAATACACATATATAGTCTGTCCCATTTAAGTGATTATTTCCTGAATTAGCAGGGGCAAGGGGAAGCAAATTTACACAAAAATGAATTACAATGCAGATCACAATCATAGTAAACACAGTGGGTAAATCACAGCACACAGGCTAGAAAGTCCTGTTCTAAATCATATCAATTCAAAGCACTTACTCAACTTCTTGAAGAAAATACAGCCTTCAGTTGTTCTAAATGAACAACATATTTATACTGTGCTCTAGTGATGAGTGTCTTTCATATCTCTCCCCTAATGTTAACATAAAAGAGTAAATTGGGATGACTGGCAAGAATGGCCCATTTTTAAACCTAGACCTGAAATATTAAAGTTACTATAGGTGAGGAAGAGTGTGAACAGTCTCTCAGAGTGAACTGTGCTTGATTTTAAAAGGAACAAAAAGCAAATAAAAAGGTAAAAATAAATCCAGCTACCTTTAAAACTACTCCTAAATCACAGGGCTTATGAATAATCTTTACATAATGAATAATAGGGTTATCAATATTTTTGCCTGACGTGACAATTTAAGTACAGCTCAACACCAAAGCAAGAATTGCACTCAAAATGATCCTTAAACACATAGAGAGATGTTTAATATGTTAAATTGAATAGCTACACATACTAGTGGTTAGAAGAGAACAAAAACTGCATTATGATACATTCTAAAGATTCACAATTTTTCCCTCCATGAAGCCCAGAAAAACCAGGGAATTCAAGTGCAACCCATTAAATTTTTCAGAAGAGGTCACTCAGCCATCTTGATGGAAGTCCCCCAACATTTCTATTCAGAAAACATTTATTTAGCTTCTGAATCTAATCACTTATCAAATGGGACAGCCCAATCTTTTTTTCCCTGGTGTCTAGACCAATGCAGGATGGATTTCCTGAATCAAGTAGGTCTGGAAAAACACTTTGGTAAATTAGTCCACTAAAAAGTGGCCAGTAACAGATGAGGAAACATCTGATGATTGCTTAGCCAGAGTAAGGAATAACAACTATTTTCAAAGAAGTTACCATTACTTTCATTTCCTCATAAATTAATCTCAAGAGTTTATTAAAAGTTCACCAATATTCTGGTCAATTTCTCCCCTTTTGTGAACTTTGAAAAGCAACATAAAAATGTTACTATTGCACAAGACTACTGGTTCTCAGCGCAAAGACTACATGAGGAAATGAATCCTCTAAAGGGATGTCTAGCGTTAAGTCATGAGAAATCATACTTAGGAAGTACTTCAGATTTGTTCAAATCAAAGGTAGTCATGGTAGAAGTGAGCAAAACAAAAAAAAAATGAGTAAAGCTGACTGAGGAATTTAGATATGTTAATACCATAGGTGTAATGTACTGTGCATGGTGGTTAAGTTGGGTAACATTAAAAAATCAGGAATAAGGGAACTTAAACCTGACTTTGAACTACCTTATTACAATATTTAATAATTTAAAGATAGGGCCACAGGGGAAAAATAGGTCAATCTTAACATCTAACCCAGAAAATCATTATTTAATTGAATATTGCAAGTTAGCCTCCTTCCTCTCCCCAAACTCATGTTAAAACACAAAACAAAAAAAACAAAACAAAACAAAAAACTGTAATAAGAAACCTAATTGAAGGACTCCAAAACTAAGGATTTAAGTAATTTCATAATTTGTCACAGAAAAGTTGAAAAATCCTATAACTTAAATACTAAATATCCAGTTTTTAGAATAAATTAAGTTAGCTAAATAGCTACAGTCCTGGCTAAATAATTAATTTCTGTTTCCCTCATTTTTTTGGTTGTCTTGAGAAAAAAAAATTCTGGTCCTTGCTATTCTAAAAAATACTGAAATAATCTGGAGAGATAATTATTTTAAATTACATCATCTGAGCTAAAAGAGTATGTGGCTTTTTTTCCAAAGAAAAAACACAGATGGGGCAGCTAGATGGCGCAGTGGATAGAGCCTTGGCCCTGAAGTTAGGAGGACCCGAGTTCAAATCTGGCCTCGGACAAAATAGCTGACACTAGCTGTGTGACCCTGGGCAAGTCACTTAACCCCAATTGCCTTAAAAAAAAAGCCACAGAGGTCTAAGTTATATATACTTTTTTTCCCCAATAAAAGAGTATTGGGTTGGTATGATAATTGTACCAGGAGACCCTGCTCCATCATTAACTCACTGTACAACCTGGATCAAGTCAAAAATCTCCCCGGGCTTGTGACTTGTCATCTGTAATACTGGGATAATATTGTTTTCATATGTCACAGGAACATTGTAAGGATAAAGTAAAAAGATTGGAAAGTGTTTTTATTGTTTGAAAGCACAATACAAATGGTGGTGATATGATTATTCATTTTACTTTTTATAATACAATTGTTAATATGATCAAGTCAAATGTGTGCTTATAATAATTTTTTCCTGAATAATTACAGGTCAACTATATTTAGCTTGACAAACAAAAATTAAAATGAAAAAACCTAAATCGTTTGAACAAGGTCACTTAACCCTCTCACCAGCTGACTTTTTTTTTTAATTATTTGTTTAAGAAGAGAAGATTTTTAATGTGTCAGCCCAACTCCAAAAAATGTATCTCTGGCACAGGTGGTTTTCAGAAGAAAAGCTGAAGCTGATCTTCCCAACAGCTCTATCCTCTGCATGGGTTTTAAAGTGCAGAAAACTGTGTGGCGTGGGATAAATCAAGACTTCTGGTCTGTCACTGAGGTACCACTTCCCTCAAAGAGGCTAAGGCTGCGTGGATGCGGACATGTAATCTGTTTTCAAAATCGTAGCCAGTGAATTCCTCCTGTAAGAACAAACATAATTACTGAATGTTAGTTAAAATATTACAAAATGCTACAGTCTGTCACAATGATTTTTGTATCCTCAGAAGTAAAATGCACAATTCTTTAACTAATTAAAATGTTAAGAACATTCCATTACTTATCACCCAGAAGACTCAAATTAAGTACACACTTTACAAATTTCATATGTAAATACTAAGAATGTTCACTTATGATGAAAATCCCCCATACTGGCCCCAGAATTAGTCTTAAGTGATGCTCCATGTAAAAGAATATTATAAAGTGTTAGTTACAAAAATAATGTAGCTATAAAGCCAAATGATACTCTTTTACCTTAAAGAATAGATACATTTAAAGATTTAAGCATTAAGACTACACCACACTGACAAAAAATACAAAGTTGTCTATTTAAAAAATATATTGGTAGTAGGGCAGCTAGGTGGTGCAGTGGATACAGTACTGGTCCTGGAGTCAGGAGGACCTGAGTTCAAATGTTGACTATAGGCACTAACTAGCTGTGTGACCCTGGGCAAGTCACTTAACCCCAACTGCCTCCAAAATAAAACAAAACAAAACAAAAAGATACACATACTACCAAATATATATATGTGTGTATATATATATGTGTGTGTGTGTGTGTGTGTGTGTGTATACACTCACACACACATATGTACATATATAAGTACATAAAATTAGTATATAAAAATACATTAATAGTACCAGGAAGCTCTTGAATGATAAGTGCTCACTGTATTAGTCTCTATCATTCCCCCCCCCCACCTTTAAATAACAACTTTCTGAAAACTTTTAACACTCAATTTTGAACTGAAAAATACATTTTTATCTTTCAGGAAGGAAAAAGAAAGAGTGGGAATAACTAGTTGGGTTAGTGTTTTTACCTTTGCTTGTAAAAGCAGAGTTCTACCTCTCGCCATGGTCTATAAAAGTGAAAAAAGCTATTAATAATCCTTCAAGTTGAAAAAGAGAAAACATAAATTTTAATTAGAGCAAAAAAACATGTTAACTGAAAATGTACTTAAAGTGGAGCAGTTAACATGCTTGGATCCAAATGGCACAGAATAAGATGCTTAAAAGTGTTTCAACTATTAAAAATAATACATTGCATTAAGAATGAAATGCAATTGTCAAGTAAGCATACAAGTTTTTTTAAGTCTTCTATACATACTCTGACAGCAATTATTTAACCCTCAGGTGGTTTTATTGTTTATTTTTAATTTAGAACCTTTATATAAAGATCACTATTAGTCTAAATTCATAGTAAAAAGAGGTTGGATCGATTGCTCATACAAATTAAATGAAACTTTTCTAATATGATAATATAAGAAATCAGTTGATAAATAATTTTCATACTCCCCAAGATTATTGCTTAAAAGGACATAGTTGAATTAAAAAAAAAACCCAAAACTTGACTACAAATGGCTTAGAGCCCTAGTGACTACTGAGGCATTCTAAACATTATTAATAATACTCAACAGTTCTATTTTAAATTCAGGAATTGCTTTCTTTTAATGAGACAGATCAGAGGATATGAAAAATCATTATTATTAAATAGGCTAGGACTGGTCTTATGAAAACAGCATTAGGAGTCAAGATCATTGTGATAAAGACTATAAACAATAAGAAAAGAAGTAAGATTTCATTCTACCTCCCCAAATTTATAGAATTTTTATCTAAACTTTACATTTAAAATATTTCCTTAAATGAAACACCCTCCAGTAAGATAATTGTTAGGATTATAATTCAAGTTAGGAAAAAGAGGACCAGTGCTTTTGTGCTACCGTAGTTTAATTTATAGAATCTACTTATTAAAGAAGCAACTGAATTTACTGAAGATAAGTATTCATTAAATCACTTAATATGTAATTAACTTTCTAAAAGAATATACCCCAGTTATGTACCAACTAAAGATAGAGATAATTAGGGTAATACAAGTTGGGTTTGCAGGGTCTAAAACTGTCCCCCCCCCAAATTCTATACAGAGTTAGAATTCACAGGTGATACTACCTCAAAGTGGACTACCATTGTCCAAAGAGTGTTATTTATCATTGTAATTCCAAAGAAGATGTATACCTAGTTTGAAATGAGCAAATAAGAAATTATTTCTTATTTCTAAACAGTAGATTCTTGGGAGTTTGGAGAAAGGAAAATCACTAGCCATTACTGAGAACTAAAATTTAATGGAGCAATTAAGAGATCCCCTGATGTAAATTTTAAAGTAAAATATAAGTACCTAAATTCAAGAAAACAAATGGAATAGGTATCCCCTTATAACTTAAGAAAATTAATTTATTTCAAATAAAGGCTGCTTTAGCTCTGTCCCTTTGCACATTTTCACTTACGTTAATTTATACAAAGTATATTATCTTACCTCTGGGTTACCCAATAGGAGACAGCCAAGTTCATAACATGCATATGGTTGAACATATAAATTATTCTGACGGCACAACTCATCTTTGACAGCTCTCTGAAAGAACTGTAAGTAAAATAAATGTTATTTAGGTTAATTAATTTTTACATTTATAGCTAAACAAAAATTTCCCTTGGATCTGGTTTTCTCTCTTCATTCTATGAGTTTCTGGATTTCTTCTTATTTCTTTTACTTCTAGCTTGACTCACCTTGAGCTCTCCACTGCCTTCTTTCTCAATGCTTGTTTCAAAGCCTTGACATTTTCATCTCCTTTTCTACCAAGTTCCTTCATGCAAAATATACGTACTGTAGTGCCTATTCCTTGGCTGCTCACAGGTTTTGCAATATTTAGGGATGGAAGTGTGTAAGGGCTTGGAGAGACTGTGACTTGTCCAAGGTAATACAGGTGTAGAAAAGAGAGCCAGGACCAGAAACCAAGTTCTCTGACTCCAAATTGAGTGTTATTTCCACTAAATCAATCTTCCTCCTATCTTTGTAGGTTACACACTTACTTCCAACTCAGGACAGAGCAACTCAGTAATCATCTGTCTTGGTATATCAAATACTTTGTCAGAATTAAAATACTTCGAAATTTCAACGTATCCATGACATAATCACCATTGAAGCAAATTGGTAGCACAGTAATTAGAGCACTGGACCTATAGTCAGGAAGACCAAAGTTCAAATCCAGCTTCATGTACTTACTAGTGAGCTGTGTGACACTAGGCAACTCACTTAACCTCTGTTTGCCTCAGTTTCCTCAACTACAAAAATGGGAATAATAACATCATCTACCTTGGAGAGTTGTTGTGAAGATCAAATGAAATGATATTTGTAAAGTACTTAGCATAGTGCCTGGCATACAGCAGATGCAATTCAGACTTTATTCACTTAGTTACAAGTTCTTGACCACCTTTCTTTATGATAATAATGACAATACATGACTTGTGAAATCATTTAATATATTCCCTTCTTTCAGATATCAAACCTTTAATGTTCCTGAATTAGATCCCCTCAAGAATGTATTTCTACTATATGTACTTTGAACTGACCTCTCTTTCCTTTCTGCAATTTGCTCTTATAACACAACGGGACCCGAGGTGAGTGCAAATGTGATGAATCCACTGTCATCAATGATAAAGTTATTCTGTTACAAAACTGCTAAAAAATCTGTTCCATTATTTATGTGTGTTGCCTTCCCTCCAACTTTGTGTAAAAATGCTCTTGAAATGGGCTGACATTATTGGGTCTCACCAAGATTTCTGCAGACTCATTTCTTTTGCCCATTGCCTTTTGATTTTTTGTGAGGTGATACTGTTCATAATCTTCTACCAACATTTTGCAAACAAGTTTATATTATGAATCTAGGGTTACCTTTGGCTAATATGTCTTTTCATTTGGCATAGAGAACAAATGTTTGTTGTCGAAGAAAATTTCTAGGTTACATTTCATAATGGTTAACAACTGCTTTATAAGTATTAAACTTTTTTACAACATGGTGATAGTCTATATCAATGTTTTCCCCCCAGCTTTGAATGATTATTGTTTGTACAAAGAGATGGAGCTGTTATAATTGCATGTAACGTCTCATCATTTTTGTCTTTCTAATGTGATACTGACTTCTACCTTTGCTAATCATTGGTCTAACAGCAAACAAACAACTGATTCAGAAAGGACTTCTACATCACTAACTATCGCCTTCTTGTCTGTTATGATAAAAATCAATTTCATTTTTTGTGATGTTCATCCAGAAACTTCCATATACCTTCTTAAAGAAAGAATTCAAAATATATAGGAATGAAGTTTCTGATAAAAAGCCTCTGGCCTCATTACGCTTCCTCCAGCAGTATGCCAACTTGGTCACTGTACAAGAAATCACACTTAAGAGTACTAAAAATTAAGTTAGTTCATTGTTGTTACTGTTGAGTTGTTTTAGTCGTGTCTGACTTTGTGACCCCATTGGATGTTTTCTTGCCAAGATACTGGAGTGGTTTGCCATTTCCTTCTCCAGTTTATTTGGTAGATGAGGAAACTGATGCAAACAGGGCTAAGTGATTTGCCCAGGGTCACGCAGCTAGTAAGTGTCTGAAGCCAGATTTGAACTCAGGAACATAAATCTTCCTGACTAGGCCTGTTTTTACAGACAATCTAAACGTTGCAAGTTTAGCGCCCTCTATTGCCTTTTTGTCTTCTCTGTTAACAGCAGTGTAGAAACAAAAGGGTACCATAAAATACTGACAGCCATTTTGTAGTTTTCTGTTTTCCGGACTGCCACAGAAAACGAAGTCTTAACAGCTACAAACTTTAGTACTCTACTATCTGGTCTAAAATATAACCATTTGAATCCATGTATTAATTTCAGCTCAAACTCACATTAAGATTAATTTAAAGAGTGTATTACATAGGTTTAATAGATAAGAATTTAAAGTCCAAGCTGATGGCATTGAACATTAACTCTACCTGGGAATGATCTCATTTAATGTTAGGAGTCATAGCTTAGAAAAACTAAAATAAAGTCTGAAAAATATTTTCATAGCTCTATTTAAAAAAACACGTGTTGTGTTTATCTATAGCAGCGATACATTCTCTTTTATCAACAACTATCCCATCTCAAACAATGACTCTACAATCTCTACATGTACAGTCAAGCAAAACAAATTTCCACACTGGCCATGTCCAAAAACAAATGTCTCATCCTCAAACAGGCCTTGCAGTCCTTCAACTCTCTATCAGGAGATGGATGGCATGTTTCATCATGAGTCCTCTGGAATCATGATTGGTCATTACATTGATCAAAACTCCTAATTCTTTCAAAACTGTTTGTCTTTACCATATTATTGTCTTTGTATAAATTATTCTCCTGGTTCTGTTCACTTCACTCTGCATAAGATCAGATAAGGTTTCTTGCAATGTTTCTCTGAACCCAGACCCCCTATCATTTCTTTCTTTTAATTTTTTGGTGAGGCAATTGGGGTTAAGTGACTTGCCCAGAGTCACACAGTTAGTGAGTGTTATGTGTCTGAGGCCGAATTTGATCTCAGGTCCTCCTAACTCCAGGGCCGGTGCTCTACCCACTGCACCACCTAGCCGCCCTCCTTATCATTTCTTACAATACAGCAGCATTCTATCACACATAGTCTATAACTTGTTCAGTCATTCCCTGGTTTATGGCATCCTCATTTTTTGCTACCTCAAAAAGTGCTATAAATATTTTTGTACATTCTTAGAGTTTGTTTTGCCTAGGAATAATCCCTCCCTCTAATTCCTCCTCACCTCTTCTCCCCCTTTCCTCCTATTTCCTTGCTGAGTGAAATGAATTGCTGTAATCCACTGCGTGTGTATTCTCTTATACTTTAGCCCATTCAGATTTAGAGTGAAGCTGAAGTGTCGGCTCCCCCTTGTTTGTATAGATGTCTACTTGTACACCCTGATTATTCGAGATAATTTCTCTTAACCTTCCTTTTCTCCCCTCTACCCCCCCTCCCCGCCCCGAGTGTATTCCTCTTCCTCTCTCTTTCCTTTCTTCTCTTAAGATCATCAAGACATAACAGAACCACTCCTAGGCCTTGTCTACTAGACTCCGTCTTTGCCCCAGGGATGTTCAGAGAGTACACATGGATCGTCCTTCCATATTAGCATGTAAGCAGTTTATCCTTGTTTAATGCTGTTATCATTGTTCATTCATGTTTATCTTTTTATGTTTCTCTTGACTCTTCTCTTGAACAAACTTCAGAGTTTCTACACGGCTCTGCTCTTTTCATTAGGAATGCTGAAAGTCTTCTATTTCATGAAAGGGTAACTTTTGCCCTATAGTTTTATACTCGATATTTCTGGCTAAATTATTCTTGGCTTACAAGAATATCTTTTGCCTTCTGGGCTACTATATTCTAACTTCCCTGGCCCTTGAAAGTGATGGCTGCTAAATCAAGTATGATCCTGACTGTGCCTCCTCAGTATTTGAATTTTTTCTTTCTGGCTGCTCGCACTATTTTTTTTTCTTTGACTGGAAGCTCTAGATTTTGGCTATAACATTCCTTGGAGTTTTCTTTTTGGGGTTTCTTTCAGGAGGTGACAGGTGGATTCTTTTTATTTCCATTTTGTCGTCTGATTCTAAGAGATCTGGTAAACTTTCTTTAAGATTTCTTGAAATGGGGGGCAGCTAGGTGGCGCAGTGGATACAGCACTGGCCCTGAAGTCATGAGATCCTGAGTTCAAATCCAACGTCGGACCAAACACTCGACACTTACTAGCTGTGTGACCCTGGGCGAGTCACTTAACCTCAATTGCCTAAAAACAAACAAACAAACAAACAAAAAACAAAACAAAACAAAAAAAGATTTCTTGAAATGGGATGTCAAGGCTCTTGCTTTAGTAGTGGTATTCAGGCAGTCTAATGATTCTTAAATTTTTCTTCTCCTTGATCTGTTTTCCAGGTCTTTTGTTTTTGCTACGAGATACTTACATTTTCTTCTATTATTCTAGTCTCTTACTATGTTTTAATATTTCTTATTATCTCACAGAATCACTGGCTTCTACTTTGGCGCATTCTAATTTTCAGGGAGTTTGTTGCTTGGGCAACGTTTATTATACCTTTTGTGCCAAGCTGTTAATTCCCTTTCTAATTCTTTCTTCTATAGCTGTTGTTTTTCAACTTTTTCATTTGGTGTTCTCATTTTATTAACTAAAAACATTAACTTCTTTTTTTTTTTAACTTTTGCTTGATTTCTTCTAGGTCTAGTAATTCTAGCTGAATCTGTGACCAAGCTGTATTTTTCTTTGAGGTTTTGTTTATAGATGTTTTTAAGCCATTCTCTTCTGAGTTTGCATCTTGAGTTTCCCTGTCACCATAGTAGTTTTTAATAGTGGGATTTTTTTTTTGCTTGCTAATTCTTCCAGCCTACCTCCTGACTCTGAACTTAATGTTAAGACTAGGAGCTGTGCACTTCAGGACGGAAGGTGTGGGCTTGTCCTATTGCTGGTTTCTTGGGGTATTGAGTGTTGTGCTGTTCTTGTATCTTAGGGATAGCTCAGGCTGGGGACCTGCAAGCTTTCTGTGCTTGCAAAGTGGCCCGATTCAGGGTAAAGTCTGATTTCTGTCCCCTGGTCTGAGGCCTGCATGTTCCTGACCTGAGCAAGAATTTAGTTCTGAGCAAGAGTAGATGCTGCTGGATTCTGCTCCTCTCAGCCTGCTGAGAAGCTCTGCTGGTTTGGGGTAATGGAGCTGCAGCATCTCCTGCTTACTCTGGAGGAAAGCCACAGGTACTCTCTACGTAAGATCTGTAATCCAGAACTAGAAAGCGGGCAACAAAGTTGCCAGAACTTCCAGTACAGGTGTTACTCATAAGGTATTGTTTTTAATAAAGCTTAAATTACAGCATTTGAAGGACATTTTTTACCATCAGTTATAAATGTCAGGAAGACTAGAGGCTCTATACACACACACACACAAACACATACACACACACACACACGCACGCATATGCACATGCACGCACAGCCTGTGTAGTGGTGGTATAGTTTTTTAAAATACTTCATTTTCTACTATTCCTAAGCACACATTAAAATGTTTTTCAAGACTTATTTTCTTTAGCTATGTCAGAAACATTCGCAAATTACCTGAATAGCATCTTCGGAATTTCCCAAGCATTTATGTATGGCACCAAGAAGCAAATTTTTTAATCCAACAGCAGACGAATCATCGACTTCATGGCAAGCTTGGAGAGATGAGAAGGAGATTACAGGAGGAAGGATAACGAAGAACTTAATTATCATCAATACTTCTAAGCAAATACTTCATCTTTTCAGCTTGCCTGTCAAGCTTATGTTTCTGAACCTCAAACTTTGTCCCTTGACATATAGATATTTTAAGAGTTAAACAAAAATGCTATTGCTGAACTTAACCTGATGAACATAAAGCTTTAATTCATTCATTCAATAATTATTTGTTAAGTATTTAACTATGTGCAAGAGGCATCTATGGTGATAGAAAGAGAAAGATATGGTTCCTACCTTCAAAGAATTATAGTCCAGCAAAGGGGTTAACACAAGTGCACAATTAACAATGTAAAATGTAGTAAATTCCATAAGAAATGCATGAAGTTTTACAGGAGTTCAGAGGATAGAGACAACATTTCTGGCTTGAACAGAGAGGAAGAGCAAGGGAAGTTTCATGGCAGCTGTGACATTTAAGCTGAACCATGAAGGATCATAAGATTACAAACTCAAGGGATCTTAGAGGCTGCTGAATTCTACCCTTTCATTTTATAGTTGAGGAAAGCGAAGGTGCAAGAAGTGACTTTCCCAGGGTGAGGGCTGTGAAGTGTCTGAGGTGGCATCTGAACTCAAGTCCTCCTGTCTTGATGAAGGCCAGATGGACAGGACTACAGTAGACAAAGATGACCAAAAGAAATTTCTAGACAGAGGGACAGGGTGAACAATGGCAGAAGGGCGCAAGGCACACCTGAGAAATAATGTGCACTCTAGCTACAAAGTAGGAATTCATGAATTCCTGCTTTATGGGAGGTAAGGCTGTAAAGGTAGGCTTGCATGCCTCGCAAGCTAAAGAGTTTGAATTTTTCTATAAATGGAGGTAATCTATCAACATTTTTCAACAGGGAAGTCAAAGCCAGAGGATCATGGATTTAAAGCTGGAAAGGATTTAGCCCAATCTTCCCCATTTTACAGGTAGAGAAACTAACACCCAGTGAGGTTAAGGAACTTGCGCAAGATAATATAAGCAGTAAGCAGCAGAAACTATATTAAAATTCAGGTCTTGTGACTAGTTCATCATTTTCTCTAGGGTACTGGAGTGGTATAATTAGGAAGATGGATCTAGTTATCAGGTATAAAATGGACTAGAAGGAAATAAGACTGGTAGGGTAGCAGGATGAGCAGTTTAGAAGGCTAGTAGAATAGTTGGTCTAGCAAGAGGAAAGAAGAACCTGAACTAAAAAGAGGATGGTGGTGATATGAAGTGAGGACAGCTTCAAGAGATGGCTGATGAATGGAAAGAATAAGGGTGAAGAACCCAAAATACCTCAGATTCCAAGCCTTAGGGACTAGGAAAATGGTACTATCATCAATATATAGAGAGAAGTCAGGGGAAGTAAAAAGTTTTTGGGAAGGACACCTTTCATTTTGGACATGTTAATTTTGAAGTTCTGATAAAGTATCCACAGATGGAAATATCCAGCAAAAAACTGGAAGGAAACATGGTACTGAACATGGAACCCATGTCAGGGCTGGAGATAAAAATTTTGAAGTCAACCATGTAGAAATGATAGTTGAAGTCAGGAAGTGGATGCAATACAGGAAGGGATAGATTTGAAGGGAACAGCTACATTTAGGGATAGGAGGAGAATGAAATGTTAAAGAAGGATAAAGAAGAAGAGTAGGGAGAAAGATAGGAAGAGAACTCATATAATAATAACATCATGGAAGCCAAGGAATAAAATGCCAACACCTCTATTTGGCTTTTAAAGTGCTTTCCAATCTTGTTCCATCCTACCTTTCTAGGCTTATTGTACATTATTACTATCTTTTGCATACTTCACACTCTAGCCAAACTGGCCTACTATTTCCAGACTCTTGTACAGTTTTTCTTCCATGCCTGGAACACACTTTCCTCTTCATTTCCAATTTGGAGAAATCCAAGTTTTTCTTAAAAGCTCAGCTCTTGCAGCTTCCAACAGGAAGCCCAATCCTTCCAGATGCTAATACTCTGTCCCTGGGAAATTACTTTGTATTTACTTTTTGATTGGCTATATATATGTTGTTTACCTTTGTCCTCCAAACAAAATGCAAGTTTCTTGAGGTCAGGAATTCCTTAGTTTTTAGCTGTATCTCTAACTCCTGGTATAGTACTTGGCATATAATGGGTGTTTAATGAATTCCTGGATAAATTAATAAGTGAAGACTTTATCAAAGAGACAGGTGAAAATCACTTGTGATCTCTGAGAAGCAGTTTTAGTTGAGTGGTGATAGCAGAAGTCTGAGAAATAAAGGAGCACATGGGTGATGAGGAAGGGAAGGTAGCTAAGTGCAGACTACTCTGAAAAACCTAGTAGTGAAAGGAAGAAGATGGTCAAGTAAATCAAGATGATAGGGAAGGATTTTTTTAATAGAAGAAACATGAGAATGTTTATATAGAGAGGGGAGTCAGAAAGAAATCAGTTCAAAAGAAGAAACTGAAGGGACAAAGAATAAAGGGATGACTGATGGGGTAACTCTAGGCACTGTAAAGAGATTTTACCCTAAGGATCGCTATCATCTAAAAAAGACAAAGGACCATTAAAAGGTCATGGTCTTTACCCCTTAGGATCTCATCATCTAATACAGACAAAGTATCATTAAAAAGCAAAAATGTGCTGTATATAACACAGTCTAGATAAATTTTCAAAGCAAATAGAAAAGTAGGTGTTTCTAATACACATAGTAATTAAACATGATGCTTTGGAATGATTATAAGGGAGGGTACCAGGAACTGGGCAGAGAATGCAGCTATCATTTAAAATTTATCAAGAATTACCTTCTGGAACAGGTACATTTCAGACTATGCTGAAGAAAATTGGGGTGTTGACATTCTCAGGTACCATCTCATCCATAAAGACTTTCCTAGACCTTTTCCCTATCCCAAATGATTTCTCTTTGAATACTAGGAAATTGTGCTAGAACACTATAGTTCTTTCCTTTACCCTTTACCTCCAACACACTAACACCCTATGTTGTATTATATTTTGTGTAACCAATATCTCCTGTTAAACTGTAGGCTACACAATGGCAGAGATTGTGCCATTTTTCACCTTTGTATCCTCAAGGTTTGGTAGTAGGTACTTGAAGGTGTTTACTGAAATGAAATTAAAGGTAATGGGGAGGTTTCTTCATGGTCTTGGGTAGAGACTAAAAATTTGTCAGAGAAGCAAAGGAAAGAGGAGTATGGCAGAGGGAACCGGACAGGAAAGAGGCAGAGATGATAGATGTTGGGAGATTGAGGGTTACAAAAAGGAAGGGATCAAAAGAGAGGATCACATCCTTAATTCTGATGAAGTTCTGATGTGACAAGTGCTGGAGGATCACTGGAAGCTTCTGAAGAGCATGTGAGTGATGAAGGATATGCTACAAAAAAGATTCGGGATACAAGGCTCTCTTTATCTTCTGAGCTTAGGGCAAGGCAAAATATCTAATTAGAAATGCCCTATAGACAGAATTAAATGAAGGAGAAGAGAAGTGCAGGTAGTCACAGTTTAACACTGTAGAGAAAATAGGAGTCCCAGAATTATTATATTTGATGAGACTCAAGAAACACACAGTCCATTTGAAAATAGGCAATAACCAATTTTTTAAAAAGTTTATTTTTAAAAGAAAAGAATTATTTAGTAAACTAAGTAATTCAATTATGGCATCTATCTGAAGAAATTTCAAAAAGTTCTGTGTCCTTTAAGATAGTTGGTCAATTATGTTATTCTAGTGAACTTTAGTAAATTAAATTCCCAAACCTGTCTAGGTAGCTCAGAAATTTGTTTTGCAATCTCCTTTTGCTCTAATTTGACTAAAGATATAAAATATAGATCCATCAGTGATCTCAGAAAATCATTACCCTTTAGCTTTCTTTTCTCCAGACTAAACAATGCTAACACTTCACTATTTTCTTATAATAATCTTTCAATTATTTTGTTACTCTTCTCTGGTGTTTATCCAGTTTCCCCCAAATCTCCTTAAAATATTGAACTCAAAACCAGAAGTTATATTGTATGTGGTTTGCCCAGTTCTCAGTATCAGTTCTAGATATTACATTATTACATTATGAGAAGGTCTCTGGACCACACTGACTTTTTAAGCCAGAATTACTTTACTGAATCACATGTACTCATGTTCAGATTAAGACTTCACTAACAATAGTAGGTATGACACATTGAAGAGAATACTAGACTTCAAAGAAGATGCTTACCACAAACATGAACTTAATTTAAGTCTTCGTTTCACTTAAGTAGCGAGGTGGGTGGCACCATGGAGACAATGCTGGGCCTGGAGTCAGGAAGACCTGAATTCAAAATCCAGTCTCTAATACTTCCTGTGCGTCCCTGGACAACCAACTTAATTTCTGTCTGCCTCAGTTCCTCCAACAGTAAAGTGGGGATAAAATCCACCTTGCCGGATTGTTGTAAGGATCAAATGAGATATTTGTAAAGCACCTGACACATAGTAGGTGCTTAATAAATGCTTCTTTTCTTCCTTTCAAATGGGGATAATATAGTATCTCTTGTATTAACCTCACAGAGTTGTGTATAAATGTGCTTTATAAACCTTAAAGTGTTCTTTAAATATCAATTATTATTTCAACTGTAAGTTAAGTATGTCCATCTCGTACATTTATTGTTCATTTTCCCTTTAGTGAACTTATCCAGCAATTTTTCCCTAATAAAATTAAATTTAAACACGACCACCAAATGTCCTTATAATCACTGATAGCTTCTACTGGGTGGATATTTTTAAGGACTCCATGTTTTCTTTATTTTATAAGGTGTGACTATAATAAAGCAGTATGACACATTCTTAAACAAACATACAGAACTTGTACCTGAGTAGCTATGAACTTATTTCAATGATACTGTCAATACTCGAAACAATTTTTGGAATCCCATTTTTGGAAATATCTTCAGAGCCAGTTCATGAGCCACATAAGGGAAAGGACTAAGCATTTATATAGCAGCAGCTATGTGCCAAGCTTTTTACAAACATTATCTCATTTAGTCTTTACAACAACCTTGCTTCTTAAGAAGGTAGGGTTACACATTCAGGAAGTCTCTGAGGCCCAGCACCACATCATAAGAAAATCAATCTCAATACTTTTGGTCACCACTTTTTTTTTTTAATGAAAAACAATTTTCATCCAGGTTGAGTACCGACTTTATTCATCAGATTTAGTCCCAGGTGACTTTGAGCTGCTTCTGAAAATCAAATGCACCCTCAAAGGCAGAGATGCGTCATCGCTGAAGCTACTCCAAAGAGTAAGCCGCAGGCTCACAAGGAGATTCCAGAATGGACAGTGGCAGCATAACTGGACCGAGGCTAGAACCTTTTAGGGTTCTTTGAAGATCACCTGTCATCTGGATGTCTAAGTTCTAGTATATTTCTTTTTTTTCAAATCCATCTCATTTTGCAGTAAAACTTCTGGAGCTCTAATTTAAGTGAGCTACCACCCACAAGAAAGATAATTCAAAGTCATTTTTTAATTTACAAACAAAAACAAAACATCAAAAAAACAATGCTACATTTTAAAGTCTGATCTGTTCCTTTTTAATTCATGTGAAGTATTTTACATACTAAGATATCCAGTAATTGAATGTAATAACATATCTGTGTCCTGTTTACTTAATAGATGGACAGAAAAATATGGATGAATAACAAATCCCCATATAATTGATTACGAATACATCTGTAGTAAATAAAATTATTTTGCCACCATGTATTTCTGATAATACATGTATGTCTTATCTTTATATCCTAATTTCTTCTGCTGCTTGTTATTAAATGTTCTTAGCAACCATATCTTTTATCTAAGAAAAACATCTTTGTCCTGTCTGAATCACATTGGGTTAATAACAAAAAAAAACACCATCACTGGAAAAACAAAGCAAGAAATAAATCAGTCTTTTACCTTGGCTCATTCTCTGTAGGTTGGGAAAGGAACAGTTTGGAAGGGCTTTCCACAAATACAGCACTTCAATGGATGCTAGCACACAGAGCTCTTTGGTAGGTATTTGCTTACGAAATCTCTCTGCCTGTAAATTGTAAATAATGAATCATAATAGCTAGCATTTATACAGCACTTCAAGGTTTGCAAGTGCTTTCCAAATGTGATCTGATTTTATAAGCACAACAACCTTAGAGGTAGGTGCTGTTATTAACATCCATTTTACAGATAGAGACACTGAGGCAGACTTAGGCTAAGTAATCAGATCTTAAACTAGAGGTTAGAGAATCCCTAGGGAGAAAGACTCTCTTTTCCCATGCCTGGCAGCTCTGTCATTCAGTCTCTGAAACATATCCTATCCGCTAAGTCACCTACTCCTAGCCTTTTATACATTCACCAATAGTTTGGTTTTTCCATAGTGTTCAATTGTGCTCCATTAAACACTGGGGGCATCTCTGATGACTTGGGGTGAAATTCTCCATATTTTAGGTATATTAGCTTGCCCAAGTAGCTTCATCCTCAACAACAAAAGAAATATGTCCACTACTAGGAAGAGTCTGACGCATTCCTGAGGAATGGGACAATGGAAAAATGCTGAACCTCATTATAATGTGTGGACAGAAAAAGATAAGTAATTAAAGCTTCAGGCTCCAGGAACCAAATTCCCCCCCCCCACTTTTTTTTTTTCCTGGAAGAGGAAATGGGTAACCAGTGGGAATTGTCAACCTGCATCTGAGCCTGAGAAGTGAATAAAAGATCACCAACAGAGGACTGCTGAAATGGGCTGTTTTGGGAAAATGGTTATAATACTTTAAAGTAGGTTTCCCACTTAGGGAGAGATTTGGTTTTAATGTACAGTCAATTCTCAGCTTTCACAAAGGTCACATTCCTAGTATATGGTAAAAAAGTAAACAACACAAATGTTGATACATTAAACCTATAGGAAATAGGGGGTTAAGTTCCTGCAACCACCAAAAACTGTGATCTTTCATTAGAGATTGCTGAAAATACACTTTTTTGCATACAATTCTTTATATCAAAACATTAATTCTGATAATGTGTACTTTTCCTAACACATGAAATAACCCATAAAATACAGTATACAAAATAAAACTGGTAACATGAAAAACTTTTTTCTCACTAGTAATTCCCTAGAATTCTGTGACCATTTGTACTAACTTCTAAAAAATAAAAACCAAACCTTAATTTGAGACAATATTAAGTTTTCATAACATGTGAAATCTAGAGTACCATAAATACTTTCCTCTTTTTTGCAGATATAATGAATCATCCATTCATTAACACCAAACTCATGGCTGACAGCAGCTGTGCACATTCTGGCATGAAGTTTACCTAACCTCTTTATTTTCTCACTAAGCTTCATCACTGACTTTGCACACCTGGGCTTAGAGCCCAAAGGACTTGCACTACTCTTTAGAGGCATAATTGCAACATAAAACTTGAGTTTTAAAGGTAAACAATGAAAATATGCAATGAATGCAGAGGACGCTCTTTACAACAGTGGGGTAAACGAGGACCAGTGAAACACCTAGTATGATAACAGCTGTTCCACCAACCTGAGCCTCTCATTTTTCTCCATTGCACATAGTCAGGAATGTGCATAGTAGCCAACATGAAAGTGAAAATAAGGTTACTAAGAAAATCACGTGAATGCTTGAAGCTGTGAAAATTAAACATGCGATGTTGAGGACTGACTGTAGTAAGGACATTATTATAAATCAATGTTCATTAAGGTAACTTTGTACAGGATATCTTGTACTTAATTCATGCTCAGCACGAGTAATAGTCACGCTAATAATTTTAAATCTAATGAATTTGCATCTTTACAATATTTTAAAGGATTTTGCTTTGACATCCTAAATGCATGCAAATCTGCCTCATTTATACCTGACACCCTATCAAGATATGGAAATTTTAGGAATGTAAATGAAAAAGGAAGTAACATTAACTCATAAAATATTCAGAACCCTACTAGATAATGAGATTTTTTAATGGGATCTTTGAAGTTGGATTTTTTTTTGATCTTATGATTTTATTGAATTTTAAAATTTTATTCAATTCCATTATTTGCAGCTATATCCTCATATAAATTCTAATCCATGCTAAACTATTTCATTAAATTACCTTTCTTTCAAATCTAATAAATTTAAAACAAGAAAAAAGTACAAAATAAATTTTAAGTATCACATAACCCAAGATAATTCAACTAAATTAATATCTAATTTGGGAGGTAGCTCCTTAGAATGCAGCCTTCTTTGGTCAGCCATTCTGGCCTACTCTTATTTCTCTAAAGTCAAAATCTGAATGTTCTTTGGGCTCTCCAATTTTGAAAACCATGTACCTGTTACCTCTTTCCCAGCATTTGCCAACCCTTCCTCCAATCTTTAGATAGATTATCTGTAGACAACTTGACGGTACGCTGTTCCTTGGGGCTCCCGATATTGATGTGGGATTTAGTGTACATATCTGATAAGCTTAGCCCATGAAAGCTCAAAATTCTCCAGTCCAAGGGATACACTATCCTCAGCCTCTCCTGTAGGCAGGATTACAGGCATGGGCCTCCACGCCCAGCTAATGTTACTAGCTTTCAATATAATTATGTACTGCCTCCCCAAAAGTAATATTGGTTATACATGATGATAACCATCAAATGCCAGATATAATATCAGTTTTAAGGTACCTTTTTGACTGAGAATTGCTCAATTTGGTTGTTTTTCCTTTTGAAAAGCCTCTGTACTTCTTTGAATACGACCTGTGCCCCATCCATATCACCAGTGGCTCCCTGGCAAACTGTAAATCACAACAACATTTTTTAGAATATCAGAAGAGGTAACTGAGGGAAGCCAACATTTATCACATCCTGCATACATCATAGAAGAAAAAACAAAAGCAAATATTTTTAGAGAGAAGACAAATGTTTAAGAAAAGGGCTGCAACATTCTGAGCTCAAATGCTGCTAAATTATCTTCCCTGATTGTATCCTATCATATTTTGGCTTTTTCATTATTATTTGTGTATTTGCCTTACTTGCCCCATGAGATTATAAAATTTTGAGGGCAGAGACCACCTTGTACACCTTTTTCATCTTACATAGGAATAGGACATGGACCTGTGATCACACTGGCACAGGGAACTCCCTGAAGAGACAGCTCCTACAGCCAATCCAGGCTGGCATTTTCTCCATAACTTTTAGTCTCAGAGAGCTGCCTAGCACACTGAGAGGTTAATGTGACTTGCCTATGGTCACATAGCTAGTATGTCAAAGGCAAGATTTGATGCCAGGTCTTCCTGGCTCTGGGACTGGTTCTCCACACTTTCCTTTTCATAGAACCTAACACAGCGCCTTGTCATAAGCCTGTGGGCCTGGGCCTCTGTATGTCTCCGATGCCACTGGTATTAACACAGACTCAGGAAGGCAGGATAATAGACCTGGATAGGAGGCACAAAATAAATGCTTGCTGAAGCAATATCCTATTGTCAAACACAAACTGTTTACACTACATTTGAGTTTATTTCCTGGGTCTATGCTCAGTGAAGATGGTAAATACATTGTATTGGTCTATGGATAATTTTAAAATTACCAAATTACCCTACAGCATTTCCTTCTCTTGGATAAACAAACCCAGTTCATTTAACTTCTACTAATAAGACTCACTTTCCAACCTTTAAATATGCCGACACATGGAAGGCACTAAATTACTTGCTGATTAATTTTCTTCTCTGAGCCCCTGCAAATTCTGCATATTGCCTAAAGCATGTACCATATTATAACTATACAAGTTAATAGTTTGTAAACATGAGTCAATAGTACATAAAAGTGACTGTTCTTTTGGGATAACAATAAACAAACAAACACATAAATGCACTTGAACTGCAGAAAGGAATAATGCCCTCCCAACAACAAGGCTGATGAGAGATTGTCTATATATTAAGATATCCATAATACACAAAACTACATCTCACAATTAACTGCATTTCACTTTTAAGGGTGGAAAGGAGAAGTGGCATCCTGTGAAAGTCAAATATACCATAGAAGGAAATATTTGAAAGCAATGTTAAAAGTAACCTTATATTATGTGGGATAATAATGAACCTCCATAATTTTAATCTCAAGTGATAAGCTTGCAGAATAGACTATTACTTGTAGGTTTACAGCATGTACAGTAGTTTAATTTTTAAACATATTCTTTTTATTAAACCACATTCATGACATCTGCCTGGAATGATCTGCATGAAAGCTTGCAGAAAACTAGATAATCTCTTAGGCTCGCTTCTAATTTAAAATTACAGAATTATAACATTATGTATCAGATGGTAGATTAGTTGCCAGCTGTAGCTTTTCCCCCACTAGGAGGCAACATTTCTCTACTTGTGCTTATCTGTAAAGCCACACAATACTGAACTCACTCATGCCAGACAAAAGACCCTTACTCACCTGCAGTTAAATACGCATAATAGCACTGAGACCACCTTGACTCATTTTTGAGTCTTTCAAAGGAATTGAAAGCATCTTTAAAGTTCAGTTCTATCATACTGCACCAACCTACAAAAGAAATACTTTTAATTATCACTGAAAAGTAACGAGTTTTACAGAACCATCTTTTTTTAACTACAGAACTCTGAACAACTGATCTGCTGTTTCCATCTTCTGCCATCAGAAGTGTGCAATCTTAAAACTTGAAGTAATAACTTCCTTATCCCCCAAAAAAACATTTAATGTGAAAGTTATAAATAAGGCAAAGCACTTCTTGATTTCAGGATCACATCAAGCATAGTAGGGAATGATTTAAAGATTTCTAGGAAAACATAGTAGTTTCCCTTGTCTCACTCTCAGACTTGGATCAGTCAAACAGTGAAAGCACAAATATATAGGTATATATTCATAGAAATGTAGGATACGAACAATTCACTGAATACAAAGTGTTCCCTATTAATATAAATAGAAGACTATAAAAACAAATGTGCATATCAATATATATGTTCTGGTGCTTACATTAACAACATTTTATGCAATGAATTAAAGCAGGCTTTCAAATATTGCCACCACCTTGAAGAGTATTATCCAAAGTGTCAATTCCAAAGATGCTTAAAGCATTTTTCTGATTCATGGTATGAATTTTCAATTATCATATGAAATAGAACAACCAGGCAGAACCTTCTTAATAGATGAAGAAAATACGTGCAAAAGGCTAAAGTGACTTGCTTAACATTTTTTTAATAAGATAGCTGTGGAGCTACTAAAGGAACTCAATTCCATTAGAGTGTCCTGATAAGGATTAATATCTGTTATGCTAATAATAAGACCTACAAAAGGAATTTTATTCCTAATGGTTAGCTATAGGAATGGTTAGAGGTATCTTCAAATAAAAAGACTTGTGCATTCAGCTCTTGTAGAATTCAACATCAGGTTCTCGCATTGGCTTAGATACGAAGCCTATGTATTTTGTAAGCAAGTCTTGAATCAACTAATTACCCCCAAATTCTGAGAGCACAGTGAGGTTTTAATTCATGCTACTACAAAGGCATGATCTAGATCCAAAAAAATCTTGAGTAGGGGTAAAAAAGAAACGTGTCATTTCAATCAATTTCATTAGTTCACATTTCAGTGCTGCTTTATACCCTTTAAATTTCAGCAAAATGCAGATTATATCACATTAAATTTCAGAAAACTGCAGATGACTTTAACATTTTTTATTGTTATATTTAATCATTTTCGGTTTTTATTACAAGGACATTTCAAAATTTAATATCAATTACTGAATAATTTTGAGTATCTGGGTTACTCTCAATTTGGTTTTTAATCACAGGCAAGAAATCATTTGTACTTGCACTTTGGAATGAGAAAGCAGCTACATAATGAATGTTATGCCAAAAGCACACCAATAAAGGATTCTAGGAAAAGTGACCAAAAGGCCATATCAAAGCTTCCCCCCCCTCAATTAGGAGTATCTTATTGAGAAATATTGACCTTTAGTTGAAAAGATTCTTGGTTAAAGTGCTGAAAAGATTTGTTTGCTTTGTTTATTTATTATTTTTCTGTTGATAAGTAATTGTGCTTGGGTAAGGAATTATATAATGGAGTGGATAAGTGTTTTAATTTTCTGTCTAGTATTATAATCAATTTGAATTTTTTTTGGTCTTATTTATTTTTAGTATTCATTTTTTAAGTTTTTTTAAAGTTTAAAGTTTTAAAGTTTTTTAGTTTCCAAATTTTCTCTCTCACTTAAGCCTATCCCCCACCCACTGAGAAGGCAAGCTATACGATACCCATTATACATGGGAAGTCATGCAAAACAAATATTTTCTTTAAAAAAAAAAGCCACACCAACTACAAAGTGCTGGAGGATTGAAAAAGGGCAAGGAAGGAGGATGCAACGCAAATGAACAACTTATTTCAAATGTTTGTTTTATAAACTCATTTAAAGCAAATAAGTAGATGTTGTAAGTGAACCTTGAACAATTAGATTTTTTACTTTAATACTCATTTTCTCATGACCTTTACAATTAAAACAACAGTATCTTAGAGTAGTGATATGAAGCCAGGCTAGAAAAGCCCCTTATTATTACATCTTCTGCTAGCTCTGTGATACCCCTTGTTATTAGATAAGATAGGAAACATACACAGCTTGAAATACATTAAGGAGGATGCAGACACCAACAGAGATATCCTAGGACAGCAAGAAGCATGAACTTTATATTTACCAATTTCATAGAGACAGACATGTTGAATTTCTCGCTGATCTACCGCAAGTTCCAGAGCCATATGGAAAGAAGTCAAGGCACTGTTGATCTGACACTAAGGAAAAAACAAACAAACAGAAACAAAACCCACAAAATTGAATTAACTTCTACTATCTCAAATCGTATCTGAAATAGATATCATCATAACGCAAAGCTGTCAAAGCTGCTGCCATCAACTACTGACAAAGTAAAATTTCTTGAAATGTCTTCTCTACCATCTAAATTCTGCATACATTTCAGAACATAATTCCAGTCTGACTTCTCCATGAAGCATATTCTTACTGCTAGAGTACCCAAAGATTTTCCCATTTCCTGAGCGTTTTAGGGTACTCATGATGACCAATTACAGAGGAGTTTGCCATTGTCACGGACGCTGCCCGGCACAAAGGCCAAATCGAAGATGGCTTCCCCAAAGGCCATGAGGCTCTCCAGAAGCTCTGATTGTGGATGATATTTTGCTAATTACATCAAGCTCTGGATTACTATAAGGTCTCATCAGTGAATGCTACAACCACTAAAAATGGACTGAGGTACCAATATACACCTGAAAAAGGAAGCAGATGAGCCTGTTACTGCTCAGATTATGACACATTGTTAGCCGGATTGGCAGATGGGAAGCCCCACTGATCTAGTCTGTGAGCAAACATCGTGACTTTCCCCATCGTGGTCTCGACATATCACAGGGTTGGCATAAGAAATTAAATGGGAATTTTGGGGGAGTTCTGAGGAACCTGCAGAGGACACAGAAAAAGTTTAGAAACTGAGAAATCTATAAAATATATGTGAAGCATTATATAGTATCAACGTATTTTATCTTTTAATACCATAATTCAGACTTCTTCTCTGATACAAAGGGGGGGCCAAAAAATTTAATGTGAATTTTCCAGATTGTTGGGGCACCATGTCCCAAACCCCCTTGATGTAGAAGGGATAATTGCATATCCTGGGCAGAAATTACAAAGAGAAATCAAGCTGGGCTGCACTGCATCTGGGAAACTGGGTAGCTCTTTCAATGGTCCCAAAAATTGTTCCCTGCTACAAAAGCCTATCTTTTTAAAGTTAATATTCTTCAGGATATGTTATATGATTATAAACCATGAAATATCTCAATGTCAGAGGAATTAAAATTTTAAGTGACCCAAAGGACAATGGAAAAAAAGACACATAGTTATGTGTGAGTGGATCGAAGCACAGTTTAGATGAGGATTTGCTCATAAAATGTTGTGGAAAGGAGGTGGATTAGTAACGTAGGCAGCTAAGTGATACAACCAAGAGTCAGGAAGACCTGAGTCCAAATATGGCCTCAGACACTCACTGTGTGACCCTGAGCAAGGGTCATTTAATCTCTATCTGCTTCAGTTTCCTCATTTGTAAAAGAAGGATAAAATAGAACCTACTGCCTGGGTTGCAGTGAAGGGAAAAAATGAATTAACATGTACAGAACTTTGCAAACCCCAAAGTACTATGTAAATGCTAGTTATTACTAGTGTGAGCGAAGGAAAAATCCACGGCCCAAATCCAACAGTGGCATTCATGAAATGTGAAAAAGAAACAAAGATGCCTTCCAAAGCACTAAATAACCTTGGAGGGCCTATGGAAAGACAAGGACAAACATTAAGCAAGAAAGTAAAGCTGAGCTGTGACTACTTGTGAAGGAAGGGCATGCACTGATGAACACACAGACAGAGAGCTGAAAAGGCACCTCAGAACCATCTAGCGTGGAGGTCTTTAAAATCTGGGATCCACTGACTTGTTTTTAAAAATATTTTCATAGTTGTATTTCAATGTAATTGGTTTCCTTCACAATCACCACTCTGAGAAAGGGTCCATAGGCTTCACCGGATTGCCAAAGGGGTTTCATGATAAAAAAAAGGTTGACAGCTGCTTGTTCTAATCCAGTTCTCTCATTTTATATATGAGGAAGCTGAGGCCCAAAGAGATAAAGCAAGTTGTCAACACACGGGAAGTAAATGGCAAAGCCAAGGTTCGGCCTTAGGATCTTTGACTCCAAATCTAACCTTTCCACCGTGTTGCCTCCACCTGCCTTCAAGGCTGCAGATCCATCAAAGTACTGATTATGGAAAGAAAAAATGGACATTTGTTTTCCTTCCATATTAAAAAATTCCTTTTCATACCATACTTCTTTAATGTGAACTCTGAGGTCCAGTGACCTTGCTGGTTCTCACCCAAGGCATTTCACATTCCCTGGCTGGATTTTTTCTCAGGCTGTTCCCCTAGGCTTGGATTGTTCTCCTCCTCATCTCCACTTGCTGGCTTCCTTTAAGACCCCACTAAAATCCCACCTTTTACAGGAAATCTTACCTGAACCCCCTTAATGCTAATGCTCTCCCTCGGCAAATTATCTCCAATTTATCTTGGATGCATCATGTTTCTAAATAGTTTTTGCATGTTGTCTCTCCCCTGTTAGACTCTGAATGCCTGGAGAGCAGGGACCATCTTTTACCTTTCTTTGGATCCTCAGGGCTCAGCAGAATGCCTGGCACATAGTAGGTGCCAAATAAATATTTACTTACTGGTTGGCTGACCGAGAGAACAATATTTAAAACAAGCCATAAGTTATTAAAAAACAGAAGTGATGAGCCAGTAGGGTTAAAACAATAATTTAAAAATTCTAATTATCTATGATTTTGTCAATATTAATGGTACATTTTCCACCAAAAGGAACTGAAATTCCTATGCACTTTAGTGGAGGCAGCTAGGTGGCTCAGTGGATAGAGTGCTGTACCTAGAGTCAGGAAGATCTAAGTTCAAATGCAGCCTCACACACTTATCAGTTAAGTCATTAACCTTGTTTGCTTCAGTTTCTTTATTCATAAAATGAGTTGGAGAAGGAAATGGCAAATCACTCCATTATCTTTGCCAAGAAAAACCCCACTGGATGGTCCACAGGGTCACAAAGGATAGGACGTGACTCAACAACTGAACAACAATACACTTTAGTACCTATTCCTCATAAATTTCTATAACCAGAGGAATTCATCATTTTGTGATCACCTTTTTGGTGACGCCTCTCCTAATCTTGGCTAACCTGGACCTTGGACAATAGGCACACAGCCCAGATTCATGATCAAAGCCTTTCTTCAAATGTGCTTTGGGGACATAGCCTTAAAAAACCCTGGGTCCCCTGCAAGCCACAAAGATGTACTGGAATAAGACCTTACTGGACTTAAAACAGATTAATTCCGAGCGAAATCATAATAACATGACAGAATGTCAAGGCTGGGCACAAACAGCAGACAGAAACTCTATCCCTGTTTTCCCCATCTTGACTCCTTGGTGAACCAATTCAATTGTACACTGTCCTCCTCTCCTGAATCCCTACCCAGGCCCCTATCATATCACCAATCACACCCTGACAAGTGTCAGCCTTGGATCACTCCCACCATTTGCCACCTTTGCTCCTACCCATGTTTTGCTCAACAAACATGGAGAAAATCACGCCACCATTTTGATTAGGTCTGCTACAAATTTATGTTAAACAACCTCAACTAGGCCCTTACTGCTGTGAGGCAATCCTACTGTACTTCCCTTATCAATTTACTAGTCCCCTCTCCAAAGCAGCTCTTCCAGACCTTTTTATCCCTCCTCAAACCTCCCACGGTCCCCTGCTCCCAGTCTCTTAGCCGAGAACTTTACCTCATATTTTATAGAAAAAAAAATAGAGGCCATTCAATGACAGCTCCCTCTTCTCCCCTCCTCCTCCTCTCCTATCATTCAGGTGCCTTCTGCCACTACTCTGTCTTTGCTCCTGTCTTACATAATGAAGTGGCCTTACTCCCTACCAAGGATAACCCCTCCACCTGTTTAAGCGATCCCATTCTATCCTGCTTCCTCCAACAGAATGCCCCCTCTTTCATCTTCATTGTTACTTTCTTTAAAAAATTTTTTACATTTTATTTTCAGTTTCAAATTATCACCCTATCTCCACCTTCTTCTCTATCCATTGAGGGGGTAAGAAATGCAATACTCCTTATATATATGAAATCATGAAAAAATTATTCCACATTAGCCATGTTGGTAGAAAAAAAGAAAAATAACGTGAAAAAAATGTGCTTCAATCTGTACCCAAAGTCCATCAGTTCTCTCTCTGGAGGTGGATTGTATTTTTCAACATAAGTTCTTTGGAACTGTCATGGATCACTGTAGTGCTCAGAGCAGTTAAGTCATTCACAGTTGAATATTGTACAATATTGCTATCATTAAGTACAAAGTTCTCCTGCATCTGTTCACTTCACTTTGCATCAGTTCATACAAGCCTTTCCAGGTTTTTCTGAAACCATCCTCTCTATCATTCTTACAGCACAATAATATTCCACTATAATCATGTTTAACCACTCCCCAAATAATGGATATCCCCTTCGTTTCCAATTTTATGCCATTACAAAAAGAGCTGCTACAAATATTTTTGTAGGGCAGACTAAGGACAACTCTTCTTGAGTTCAAATCTGGTCTTAGACACTTACTAGCTGAGTGACCCTGGGCAAGTCACTTCACTCTATTTGCCTCAATTTCCTCCTCTGTAAAATGAGCTGGAGAAGGAAATGGCAAACCACTCCAATATCTTTTCCAAGAAAACCCCAAATGGGATCACAAGTCGGACACGACTGAAAAACAACTGAACAACAAATAAATATTTTTGTACATATGAGTCTTTTTCCTTTTTCTTTTATCTCTTTGGGACACAGAGCTAGTCAGTATTACTGCTGAGCCAAAGCATATGCACAATTTTATAGCCCTTTGGCCACAGTTCCAAACTGTTCTCCTCTGTCACTTATTTTCAATCTCTCCTTACCGATCAATTTCCTACTGCCTACAAACCTGCCCATGTCCCTCCCCTATCCTGAAAAAACCCTCACTTGATCTTTCCATCCTGCTAACTATTGTCCTATATCTCTTTGGCCATCCTCAATAGGTGCCTCCACTTTCTCTTCACCCACTCTCTTCTTAACCCCTTACAATCCAGCTTCTGACCTAATCATTCCACTGAAACTGCTCTTGCCAAAGTTATCAGTGATCTCTTAGTTGCCAAATCCA